AGAGAGAGAGAGAGAGAGAGAGAGAGAGAGAGAGAGAGAGAGAGAGAGAGAGAGAGAGAGAGAGAGACATGAGAGAAAAATGAGACGCCATCAGCGGGTGTTGCTGTGCGCCACGGCGTGGCTGTGGTGGGTTCCACTTGTTTTCTTAAAATTTGGAAAACGTAAACTTAAAATAGAGGCCCATAGAGTGGCATAGACCTATGGGGCTGCTGCATCTGCAGCAGCCCCCCCCCCCCTCCCCCCTCTTTTCTTTGTTAAAAAAAAATAAAATTAAATAAAAGAATCAATCAATCAATCGATTCAAGATCCAATCTATTGATTGATTAATTGATTCACAGAAGCAAAAAAAAAGGGGGGGAGGAGAGGGGGGGGAGGGGGGCTGAGGATGGGAGATGAGGACGTAGCAATGGAGGGCGAGAGGCAGATGGGAGTGCTGTGGCGGCATGGAAGGAGAACGAAGAGGCGGAGGAGGGTGAGGAGGAGGAAGACAGGGACGAGGCAGAGAAGGTGGGCGACGAGGAGGAGACAGTGGGGCTGTAGGAGGAGGGGGAGGAAGAGGACGACGACGAGAAGGAAGGTGAAATGGGATGGTGGCGCAGGGAGCCTACGGGCCCAGCCAGGAGGAGGAGAATGAGGAGGAAGAAGAGATGGAGGGGAAGGAGCAGGTAGAAGAAAGGAGGAGGCAGAGGAGGAGGAGAGAAAGGTGGAGGAGGACGAGGGGAGGGGGGGGTGATGGAGGGAGATGGAGGAGGTAAGGCACATACCTGGCTCAGCTGGCTGCGGTCGCGATGGCGGCGTGTGGTTGTGGCCGCTATCGTTGGCATGGATGTTCAGCAATGTCCAACAACCGAATGTCCTCGCCCAAATTGTGCGTCAGGCGGGGGTCTTCAGGCTACAAATTTCGAAATTCAGAAAGGCCGAATCTGGGCCGTTGATCTTCAAAATCTGACGGCCCAGATTGGGCCTTTTTTTTTCAAGTTTTCGAGGCCCTACCGGCCTCAAGAAAATTTGTTGCTGCGCCAGGTCCGCGCCCCGTGACCATGGGAACACCACAAGGCCCTACACCACAGAAAACGAGCCCCCCAAAAATTTTACCAGAGGCAGATGAGTCGTCCTGGGCGGACTTTTCCGGAGTTGTCCGACAGGACGACTTGGACAACCAGGGGGGCCCCCGACGTCCGCCCTGGTAAGCTAGGAGTAATATGATTGAGTTGATGGGTCAGATGTGATGAGCTGAGTGCAAAGTTGTAAACACTAAGGACGTGAAGGATTTCCGATTTCTCAATTTTCCTAAAATTCAGAAAACGTAAACTTAAAATAGAGGCCCATAGAGTGGCATAGACCTAGGTTCAGATAAAGAAAGGTGGTCTAGAAGAGCAGAACAGGTTCCAAAAAGTGTTGTTTCCTGTGAAATGGGACGTGCCGAAGCTTTATCCTCGGTTTGGTAAAAGAACTGAACTTGCTGAAGGTAAAAAGAAGAATCTAATTTATTTTTTTGTAATTGTCGATGACAGGACATCCACCCACACGAGTACTCACACGTTCAGCAAATCTAGAAATGGGATATATCCGTCAGGAGTCGCCCCATTTCCATTTAACAGCAACCTTTCCGCTCCGTCTGGGAGCATGATCTTCGCGAGGACATAGGTTCCAATTGGCATCCTCCTTGTCATTGGGCTTCCAGGATCGGAGTACACATCCTCATAGGACCTGCATCCACCATAAACACATACAACAAAACTTTCCAATACAGTCAAGAAGCTAACTTCCATCGGGGCTCACCAAGCCAAGTTAGCATGTCAAGTGATCTATATTGCTTTGCTTTTCCAAACAACTTTCGTAAGACAAAGTCACCTTCAAAATCGCTTCAATTGAAACCCAAAAAACTAATGCACCTTTTTTAGGCTTTTTCATGTAATCGTTTCGTTTCTAACTGTAATGAAAATCATCTTTCTCTGGATATTCATTCCAGGATTCAAATTGTTTGTAGGCGTCTTCTTGTCAATATGACGTGATCGTAATACTGTTTTTTTCTTTTTTTCGGTGGCCCAATGGACCATGGATCAGATAATGAACTGATCAGAACAGATACTACACAACTTTTAGGCAAAAGGCTGAGGTCAGACTGCATATAAAGTGCATGTTTTTGGTAATCTAAGATGTCGTGTCAAGGAAAGAAGTTTCATGAAGCCCTAAGATGGGATTTCACAGTCTTCCCGCTGTTATGAACCCAGACTGGAAGATTCTCGTCAGACGTCGAAGTACAGGTAGGCTCAGATCTGCACAATGTCTCAAGTAATCGTGAAAGTGATATCTGATACAATGTCTCATATAACCAATAGACGAAGAGAGTGGAGGGAAAATAGACAGATGAGAGGGTGGAAGAGATAAACAGTGTCCACCAAAAGAGTAGCCCAAACGTTACCCACTCCTTCTCCGGGCTTCCTCTCGCCTCCACGTCATCAATCAATACCCAGTAACAAGTCTGAAAAGTCCTGATCACATAGAAGTGCCACGTGGCACTGTCATCTCGTGGAGACAATGAAGACAAACAGCAGTGCACGGTATGGACGTCAACCTCAGGTGAGTACCACTTTCCCAATCATCCACAGATCCCAATCTCCCTCCTTGTCGCAACCAGTCACCTCATGTAGACAGCGTGGCCAGTGCCATGTCAGCAGTAGAGACAGGTGGCATACATTGCATCAGCTATGTAGACAGATGACCTGCACCCAATCAGCAATGTAGACAGGTGGCATGTGCCGCATCAGCAATGAAGACAGATGGCCTGCGCCACATCAGCAATGTGGACAGGTGGCCTGAGCCAAATCAGCAATGAAGACAGGTGGCACGTTGTCGACCGGAAGAAATGCTCTGCCGGCACACCAACCAAACCCTATGCCTCGCGCCGCGTCTGTCACCCGCGGGAGGGCTGGTCGGGGCTCCTGTAACCTGCACAGTCCACGTTAGTCCTCAACCATGCAAAAACCGACTTAGACTGACCTCGCGTCACATGTACACGAAGTCTCACAAAGTAGCGTCCGGAACAAATAAAACGAGCATTTTCATTCAATCCAAAACAATGGGGTTCTCAGTGCTGTTTCCAGTCTCGGGTGAAAATCCCTCGTCTAGGAGGGGGAAATCTGTCTGAGTAGCTACTCTTCTGCACCCTGAGCCTGATCCTCCTCCCAATCGGATGTCGGCGATATCGGGCTGGACGATCCTAGGGAACCGTGCTAGAGCTCTCTGTATCAGAGGTCGCTTCCCGTGCCCATTGGGGCCAGAGCTCAAGATCAACTGTGACCACGCCTTCTCGTGATAACGTTCACTTTTGTCTCTCGCAAAGGTCGCAGATGTACTAGGTTTGGTGGCCCGTCTCAGAATGTACCCGTTCGGAAGGCCCGGTTCGGAATGTAGCTCTTCGGAAGGCCCGGTTCGGAATGTACCTCTTCGAAAGGCCCCGGAATGTACCTCTTCGAAAGGCCCGGTTCGGAATGTACCTCTTTGAAAGGCCCGGTTCGGAATGTACCTCATCGAAAGGCCCGGTTCGGAATGTACCTCTTCGAAAGGTCCGGTTCGGAATGTACCTCTTCGAAAGGCCCGGTTTGAAATGTACCTCTTCAAAAAGCCCGTTTCGGACGACACTACCTTGGGCCCGATCTCCGATGTGCCTTCTCCGACTGCTCAATCGTTTGCCTGGGCGTCGCGCCCTTCAAAGTGCTCACACAATCCGCTAGGTGCACTCCTTCAAACTGGTAAATGCCCAGGGCACCCGCTCGTGCCGCCCCTGTTTTGTGCCCTCTCAGGCCGCCAAGTATTCAATGTACCTTCTCGTCCCATTCCCGAAATGTGCTCCCAAAGAAGCCTTGTTTCACTGATGCCCCGACTGCGCCCCCAAGAGCCCGTTTCGTCCGGTGTCTCAACTGCGCCCCAAAGGCCTGTCCCGTCCGGTGTCACAACTGCGCCCCAAAGGCCTGTTCCGTCCGGTGTCACAACTACGCCCCAAAGGCCTGTTCCGTCCGGTATCACAACTGCGCCCCAAAGGTCCTTTTTGTCCGATGTCCCGACTAATCCAGATCCCGTGGAAGCGCGAGTCGGCGTGCGTGCTTTGTGTGTTCGCTCCTCACCGCCAGTGATCACGCGTACGCCCCCATCGGTGAGCGCGGTCCCCGCGCGGCCTACACCGCTCCGTGCGCGATTCGGGCGCTCGGGTGCGGTAACCCGACTCGTGTGCGCGCCCTTGCGCGCTACCCCAATCTGCGCGCGCGAAGCTTGCGCGAATGTGTGCGCCCGCGTGCGCTATCCCTATCTGCGCGCGCGGAGACTGCACGAGTGTGTGCGCCCTTGCGCGCTCCCCCAACCTGTGCGTGCGGACACTGCGCAAGTGTGCGCGCCCTTGTGCGCTTTCCCGATCTGCGCGCGCGGACGCAGCGCAAGTGTTCGCGCCCTAGCGCGCTGCCCCGATTTGTGCGCACAAACGCAGCGCGAGTGTGCGCGCTCTGGGCGCTGTCCTTATCTGTGCGTGTGGACGCCGCGCGAGTGCTCGCGCCCTAGCGCGCTGCCCCGAAGCTTGCGCGAATGTGTGCGCCCGCGTGCGCTATCCCTATCTGCGCGCGCAGAGACTGCACGAGTGTGTGCGCCCTTGCGCGCTCCCCCAACCTGTGCGCGCGGACACTGTGCAAGTGTGCGCGCCCTTGTGCGCTTTCCCGATCTGCGCGCGCGGACGCAGCGCAAGTGTTCGCGCCCTACCGCGCTGCCCCGATTTGTGCGCACAAACGCAGCGCGAGTGTGCGCGCTCTGGGCGCTGTCCTTATCTGTGCGTGTGGACGCCGCGCGAGTGCTCGCGCCCTAGCGCGCTGCCCCGAAGCTTGCGCGAATGTGTGCGCCCGCGTGCGCTATCCCTATCTGCGCGCGCAGAGACTGCACGAGTGTGTGCGCCCTTGCGCGCTCCCCCAACCTGTGCGCGCGGACACTGTGCAAGTGTGCGCGCCCTTGTGCGCTTTCCCGATCTGCGCGCGCGGACGCAGCGCAAGTGTTCGCGCCCTACCGCGCTGCCCCGATTTGTGCGCACAAACGCAGCGCGAGTGTGCGCGCTCTGGGCGCTGTCCTTATCTGTGCGTGTGGACGCCGCGCGAGTGCTCGCGCCCTAGCGCGCTGCCCCGATATGTGCGCGCGGACGCTGCGCGAGTGTGCACGCCCTTGCGCGCTTTCCCGATCTGCGTGCGTGGACGCTACGCAAGTCCGATCCTCCTAGAGCGCGGGCGAGCGCGCTGTTACGTCCGGGCTTTCCCACCCGATCCTGCAAGTGTACGGGTGCGTGCGCGCGCGTGCCCCTGTGCACCTGTACACGTGCGTGGTTGAGCTCGTGTGCGCACGTGTGCCCGCGCCTTCTCATGCGTGGTGACCCGTGGAGTTGTGCACATGCGTCCCCCCCCGTCCTTCCTCGTCCTCGTTACCTCCTTGTCTTCCTCTCCCGTGCGTGTTGATGAGCGCCCTTCCTTCGTGCGCCCTCTACCCGCGCATCCGAGAAGTGTCCCGACCCGGAGCCCTTTTCGGCTTTTATGCTTCGCAGGGCTTCGCTTCCCTGGCTCTCCACTCTTCGGAGGCTGCCTACAAGTTGCAGCGCCCCGGTACCGGGCCTGTGCCTGAGCCTGATTGGGCCCCCGAAAGGTTTTCAACGACGGGGGCCTTTCGCTCAGGAAGAGGGCCTTTTGCAGCGCCCCGGTACCGAGGCTACTCCCGAGCCTGCCTCGGGCCTATTTGGACCTGGGTGGTCCCCCACGCTCAAGCGATACCGGCCCTTGAGAAAATCGAGCAGGGTCCCCCCCGAAATTGTAGGCCAGAAGGCCCATTTCCAAGCCTTAGGCCGGGAACCTCCTTCCCTTGGCGCCAAGGCCTGCCAAAAAGGCCGGTCTCCATCGTCCCCAACGCAAGGTGTTCCCGAGATTTGGTCACTCGTGGTAACTTCGGAGGCTGCCATTGCTCGAGATGTTCGAAGCTCTACGTCAAGGCCCCGACGCCCTTTTCCTTCTGGCTTTTCGCCGACCCTTGGCGCAACTCTGGCCCCTCACAATAGTGCCATTTGCCCTGAGCCCATGGCAATCTTCCTGTTGTGGTAGTCTTTCCATGCCCGTCAGCGGCTCACGCCTGTATTCGCCTAGGCAAGGATGTCCCCTCCAATGTTCGTTCGYGGTTCCATTCCTTTCAGATGTCGCGGCCGGTACTCGTGGTGTCGTTCTATCGACATAACTTCCGGATCCTGGTCGCGGTCCCCGCTGGTAAAGTAAGTGAGCCGGCCCCTTGCCAAGCGTCCTTTTCGAGGAAGCAAAGGGCGGCATAAGGCTGGAGCTGCCCGACAGCAGCCCCCCCCCCATTCTCGACATCCCTGGCGAGGCATCTTGGTAAGATCAAGGAAAAAGAGAACGGAGAAATGTTGACTCCTAATCTCTACCCATCACCCCAAGATTATCTTCATCGTCTCTGGCGGCCCTTTTTCTCCTGCTTCTCTTTCTTGTCTCGCTTTTTCTTAATCATTCTCTTTCTAATCCCTAACCGCTTCTTGGCCCTCCGCCGTCTCCTCTTGCGTCGGTGCTTGTTTTCTCCCTTATCTACTACTAGCACCCTCCTAATGGCTTCCTTACCCTTTCGCTTCTTCTCCCTCCTTAGCGTAGCTGATTCTAGGACCTTCTGCCTTTTTTTCCTCTTGTCTTTCCGTTGGCTATTTCGGACCCCTAAGACTTTTTCTCGCTTCTTTCTCGCGGGTTTCTTAGAGGATTCACCTACCTCATAGGTGGACGACTTACGTTCCTCCGCAGGTTCTCTCGTCGGCCTCTCCAAGGGTTTTTCTAGTTTCTCATCGACCTTCTCCTTTTCCTTACCCTTTTTTGAATATAGGATAGTTTCTCTTCGATCCCTAAATACCTTTAAGCGCGCCCCAGACACTGGTTCTTTCCATCTAGCCCCGTCCAATTCCTCCAGCAGATAGGCCCTGCCTTCTAGTGTCTAAATCACACGGTAGGGCCCCATCCATTTGTTGGCCAGTTTCCCTGTCCAAGTCCTCTCCAGGGCGGAATCATAAAGTAAGACTAGGCTTTCCGTAGGTATTCCTTCCTGCCTGACCCGAAGATTTTTGTCCCACCTTTCCTTGTCCTTTTCCCTCTGAGTTTTCAGCTTTTCTATGGCGTCCAGGGTACTATCTTCAAGGGTCTCAGCAATTTCCTTAATCCTAGCGACCAACAGTTGCTCCCTGGTCGAGACCCCTTCCCAATCAATCTTCGTCCAGGAGTCCATATGAAATTCTATGGGTAAAGGACAATGTCTCCCAAACCATAAAGTGTAGGGCGGGTATCCGGTGGTCGATCATACTGTAACGTTATCTGCCCAAACGGCGAATCTCAGATATTTCGGCCACTTCTTCTCCCCCCCCTCGCACCATTTGGCGAGTGCATTCACTAGACACTGGTGTCCCCTTTCTACAAGGGCGTTAGTTTGAGGGTGATATGTTGTGGCTAATGACACTCGAATTCCCGCTCTTTCGAGCAAACCCTGGACTTCTTTAGCCATGAACTCCGACCCCCTATCCATGACGATCTTCCCGACACATCCGTACCGGGTAATATATTCCGTCAAATATTCACTAACAACTTTCCCCGTCTTCTGGCGTAGCGCCCATGCTTCCACGAACCCAGTCAGGTCATCCCTGATGTCCATGATGTAATTCATTCCCCCTTCTCCTTTAGGCATCTTGACTAAGTCTACGTGAACTTTTTGTTCTACCGCTGTCGGATACGAAGGGAACAAGGGTTCCTTATACTTAACTATAACTCTCTTCTGGCATTCGACGCACGTCAGGCAGTACGACTCCACGTCTCTATATAAGCCGTCCCACCAATGGAGGTTCCTGACCTTCTCAAAAGTTCCTTTTACCCCTCTATGTCCTCCTACGACACCGCTCACCTTCATAGCAGACTACCCTCATCGGCATTCCGTTCTTGGGCGGCCTTTTAAAGAGGTGACCCGCCCTGAGGCAATATTGTTGAGCCTCTTTCCTGAGCTTGTCATCAACTTCAGCTTCGCCTACGAGGTACCGCCCTATTCGATGATACTTGCCGGTGTAGAGATTTTCTAGATACAGAGAAGCCTCACTGGTGCTAGGCTCCATCCCTAATGAACCTATCTCCATTTGTAAAAACTTGTCAACCCCTCCAGGTGACCCTAGGTTTCCATCTTCTAGCGGATCGACCCGCAATACAAACCTTCGTCCGTAAATATAATGTCTGAAGACATTTAAACAATGCAGCATCCCGAGAACTTCTTTCTTAAACTGCGAGGAATTCCTCTCGGTGGTGTTCAAGGTTTTACTCTCGAATCTGAGAGGCCTTTCGTTGCCATCTCCTTCTTAGCCAAGACTCCACCACAGGAGGCAGGCCCCGCGTTCGTACATACTATAAACGGTCGCCTCTCCTCATCCTCAAAGTAAGGGGCTCCAAGGACTTGACCTGCTTCCTTAAACTCGTCCTTCAATGCTCTTACTGTATCTTCATGTTCACCTGTCCATTTCCACTCTCTTCCTTTGCGCAACAGCCTCCTTAATGGTTCAGCCTTCCCAGCTATCCCTCTATGAACCCTACCACTCCTAGAAATTGGCGTATATCGGTAATATGTCGTAGTGGAGTAGGTCAGTTCATAAGTTTTTCTAACTTCGTCGGGTCCGATCGTCTGCCGTCCTTGTCACAAATATAGCCCAATATCTTTATGGAAGATACTGCCCACCTACTTTTCGCCTCACTCACCGTGAGGTTCGCGTCCTCTAGCTTCACTAGCACCTTCTTAATATCCTCAACATGGGTCGCGACGAACCTCCTTACTCCAGGCCTCACCCCTGTCTCATCCTTCTCATACGACCCTTTGATTGGAAAGTCATCTAGGAAAACTTCCACCAAATTCGGTATAAGCTCCCCCAAGACCGCCACCATTACCCTTTGAAAAACAGCGACGCCATTAGTCCATCCCATCGGCACCACCATCATCTGGATCAATCCTAATGGCGTGTGCATCGCGGTTAGCTGTCGGTCCCTGTAGTCAAGCGGGATCTCGTCGTAGCCTGAGAAAAGGTTGCAGACCGAGTAAACCGAACGTCCGGCTGACCCTTCGGATAAGAGATCCACGTTTGGAATAGACCCGACGTCTCTAACCGTGACTTTATTAGTCTTTTGCAGATCTTGTATCCACCGTAGTTTTCCGTTTGACTTCGGTATGAAGAACCATCTGTTCGCATAGACGCTCTCACACGGTTCTGCCACAAACGTTCTGATTTTCTCCTTCAGGAAGTCTACTATCATCTCCTTTTCCTTTTGGGCACACTTCCACCCTGCGTCATTCCACGGAACGTGCGGAACCGTATAGATCCTCGCAGGCTTGGCATATCGCGGATCTATTCGCCCTCTCTCCGCGTCGCAGAAAGCTACCGCCTTATCGCATGCCCTTAATGTTTCTATTATCAGTTCTCTCTCCTGCTTAGTTATATTCCCGTCGCCTATATCCATCCCTTTCAATATATCCTCAGTAATTCTCTGGCCTTCAGTAGCCTTTCGTTCTCTGATCATCTGAGTAATTTCTTCTTCAGTGATTCCTATCTCTCCGGTCCTATCACGGCTGACCGCAGCTGGTTTGACTTTCTGGGCTACAGTTTTGTATCTCTTCCCCCCGCCGTGTGGGGGAATTCCTCCAAAAAAGACAGGTTTATGCACCCTCCGAACTCATCATTGTCCCCCTCTTTTGGGTAAGTTGTCCCGTCCACAACATACTTGCCCTCTAGATCCTCCGCTCCAATCCTTCTCCCTTTCACTCTATGAGGGCCTAGAGTGAGTTCTTCAGGAACCATTTGGCAACTTCTCGTCATCAGTTGGCCTCTACTTTGTAAGGAAACCTTGTGACGCTTGTCAAATTCATTCACGGTCTTCATGGTAACCCTGCTGCCTTTGGGCCCGTCTATGGTAACTGTCTGGCTCCCGTCCAGCTTGTTCTCGGTGGTGGCGTTGACACGCGTCAGCCATGTCCTCCTAAGGATTAACTCCGATGAACAATGCTCAACCGTGAAGACTGGTACGGTGGCCTCGACTCCAGCAACCACGACCTTGGCATTATGGCACACCCCAAGCCCGGGCTGCTTGAACTTGTTAGCGGATACCATAGTCATAGCAACACTCATGTCTACCTCTAGGCCAAGCTTTCGGGCCACCTTATCCTCACAGACGGTAGACTCGGACCCGTCATCCACTATAGCCTGTATCCTTATTCCATTCACGGTGGCGTTCAACTTTCCACTACCAAGGACGTAAAAGTAATCGCCCCCACCTCCATTGGTTTCTACCCGTTCTTCCTCTCCTTTCTCCGCTGCTAAGACGAAGGTTTTCGTCTCTACCTTCGGAAGTTGCCGTCTCCGCCAGCGGTACCTTAGCTTTCTTCATCATTCCTATTAGTTCATCCCTCGTCGGCCCACAGCCGGCTATGAATTCCTTAAGGGTGATAGGAATGGGCATATCCATTGCCCTCCTCAATGACTCCCTTAAGTCGACCTCGTCCAACGAGCTTTTCAACTGAAACTTCTTGGCCCCTCTTTTCCTAGGGGACTTCGGCGACTTTGGCGACTCCACTCGCTCATTTGTCATCGGTTGATCCTGATCCTCTCTCTTCCCTCTGCTTGATTCGCCAACGCCTTGGGTGCACACGTAAACTTCGCCATCACTCACTGTTTCCTCAAACTTAATGGATGAAATTCTCATCCCTGGGCTCTCCGGTGGTTCGTCGAAGTCATTTTCGAAAGTCACTCGGGAAACCTTCACTGTTGTCGGCTCCTTCGCTTGTTTTCCCTTTGCTTCATTCATTCTCCTCCTCCAGATATCCACATTAATTTTCATCGAAGGTAAGAAGGGCACATGTTTCCCTTCATCAACCCACATCACATACTTCCTATCATCCAATTCGATGATACCTTCCTTTAACGCATCCAACATTGCTTGGCAATCTCTCTTTCGGTGGTCCTCATCTCCGCAATACATACAAGCCTTGTCATTCCAGGTTCGCCTCGGACTAGGGTCTCCCTTCTCGCGGCCCTCCGGCCGCGGAGCAGCCCTCCTTTCTCTGACTACTATTTTGCAATCTTTCCACCGCCGCTTTTAAGACTTCTATTTCCTTCGCCATTTCCTCCTCTCGTCTTTCTGGTCTCTTAGACCCTATCTCATCCTTTTGCTTCCACCTGTTATCCTTAGCGTTGGACCACTTGGAGGTTCCCCACTTTCCATCGTTCCTTTTCCAATCTCCTCTGCCTCCCTTCCTCCACTCGCCATCATTCGCCGTCACTCCTGGCTAAATCCCCTCTCCTAGGCGAGCTTGCATTGGTATCCTTTCCTTTGACTTTGGGCCTCCTATCATCGTATTGAGGCTTTCCTCCTCCCCTTCCCGTAGTCACTCCCTTTCCTAGGTTTTCGAGAACTTTTATGAGGTGTGCTTTCGCACTTTGACCTTTCGTATCATGAGCCAAGACTTTGACTTGGGAAAAAGTCACCTTAAGGGGAAGGTCCCGCAAAATCTTCTCACGCTTCTCTTGCGATAGAAACCCTAGGAATATCCCGCACCTCTCGATTTCCCCCATAAATCCCCCTTCTACCAGTGGATTTGAAGCCTTTTTGTATCTCCTCGCAAACGCTACCAAACTTTCCTCCTCCTCCTTTTTCATTTCTTTCAGATCTTCCACCGAATAGGAGACCTCGTCACAAGCGAAGATTCTAGTAACCCTCTCCCTGAATGTCAGCCAACGCCCATTGTCTGGGATAGCGTCCCTCACTTCGCGGTCTATCTTTGGGGCCGTATGGTGGAGGAAGTTTACAATCATTTCCTGATCACTCCACTCCGCCCTCATTCCCAGTACCTCCCAGTCATCCAGGAACTCGAAAACGTTCTTCCCTGTAAAGATCATTTGAATCCCGGACAGCGCCGGCCATTGGTACGTCGGGGCCCCAAGGAAAGGAGACACATAGGAGCCCGACACGTATGCCATAGAGTAAGGGTTCCTTCTATAAGGCTCGCTTGGGGTCTCTCTATAAGGTTCCCTTATCCCGGCATCCGTAAACGTCGCCACTCTTGCCCTATTCAAAACCTCTTTCCTCCAGCCCTCGCTATTGGAGCTTCGCCCTTCGAGCTCTCTGGAGCGACTCTCTAATTCTCTTAAAGCCTTCCTCAATTTCTCCGCGTCACTTGCAACATCTATGCCCATTTTCCTGTCTGGGCTATTCGTCCTTGACACTTGTGTTTTCACGTCTCCCCCTATCGAAGTCAAATAAGCTCCTTCAGCATCCATCTTACCTAACTAATTTCCGAACACTCGGCTCAAAGCAACAAGGATCCTCTAGATCGAGCCCTCCAGTATTTCTTGTAATGCCTCGAAGTCGGCGTCCTTTGCTTCAGCCCTAACTACTAAAGCCGTGGTCAGCGCAGCCTTCGAGTAGCGCGAGTTAGCCTCTAAAGTTCTCAGTGAGACTCCATCAACTATGTCGTTAGAAAGCTCTCCAGGTTCCTCAACGTCCTCCCTTAGTCTTATCCTTGCCTCTGCTATGGTCTCCCTCCACTCTCTGTAAAACGCCTCTCCTTCAAACGGTATCGTGTGGATCTCATTCTTGGCCAATCGAAGTTCGTCGGCTGCTTTCCAGATAGCACATATCCTAGCTTCTTTAATCGCTCTTCTAGCCGATTCAGCTTCCTCTTCCTGGCTCAAACTTTCGTCATGTATCACTTCCACTCTAGCAACACACCAAGGACCCTTCAATTTTCGCCCCTCCGATTAGTTGATACTTCTTATAGCCTCTCCTCTAGTGTTCGCCATCACTCTTCTTAACTTCGTTTCTGATCTCTCTAATTCTTTTGGCCAAGAACTCTTCCCTCCAGTTTATTATCTTTTCCCTTTCCTCCTTATAAATTAATGCTAACTCCTCAACTCTCTGTTCGAGCGCAAGTAGTCCTCGCTCATCCATGGAGCCGCACCATTCCTTATACCCATCCACCAATTCTACTACTTTATCGTTTATCGGATCTAGGTATATCTCAATAAGCGAATTAACCTTTTCATCACTCCCTCTCACACGCGGGATCGTGCCTCTCGGACGGTCTCCACCAACGCAAGGATAACCTCAGCCATCCCTGCGACCAAACCATTACATCATAGGTTATCCTCCTCTTGGCCTCCCCCAGCGCAAGGAGCCTCGGTCATTCTCGCTCAATCGCTTCCTCGACCAGACGCTGACAACTTCGCTCGTCCAACGACCTAGCCGACCGAATTCGAATGATCGATGTTACTCTACCAGTAAAGGACACCCTATTCACTTCCTCCTCCTCAGTCACTGCTCCCGGCATCGCTTTTAGTTTCACTCTCAGTCCCGGTCTCAGTAGAGCTACTGCCATCGGCTCGCCGCCTTTAATCCTTTGTGCAAACTCTACTATTGCCTCCCAACCTTTAATCCTTCGTGCAAACTCTACTATTGCCTCCCAGCCATTCCTTCGGAGCCCGACCATGCTAGGTTGAGGTTTAGGTATCCCCTCAAAGGGCACTACGTCCATGCTCCACACCTTCTCTCTCCAATCTCCGCTTCTCCTCCAAAACTATCCCGACTGCTCGCTCCCAACAACTACCACGTCGTTTTTCGCTATACCTGTTCTTTGGGACGTAGATCCGTGTGTCATATTCGTCAAGGTCGATGAAATAGCAGGTCAATACATAACTGCTCCCAAGCACGAGCTTCTTCAGAGCCTCGTATCTCGCGATTACGTAAGGGAAAACCTCTCTATGGGCTAATGAGTTCAAGGAGTCTAAAAGTTTCTTCGTCTCCTCTCTGCTTAATCTCCTAGCCCCCCTATTTCGTGGAAACCACGGCCGGAAAGGGAGGCCTCCACTCATCGGGTCCCTTCTCTTCTCACAATCTATTTTTTTGCCACCCTCAAGACTCCCATCAACCTTCCTCTAGCGTCTCTAATCTCATGCTCAACTTCTATTCCAAACAGGCCCGTGTCCAGATACAGTTCGCCTTCTTGCTCATTCAGACAGGCAGCTCCTCTCCTGATCTCAATCCTCCCGGTTCTTGAGCACCTCGTCCTCCTACAGATCGAAGTCCCCATCGTGCACAGATCTTCCCGAGTCCATGTCCTCAGAAGTCGGAGCAGGTCACCGGACATCCTCCTATCAAGGTCTCACCTCAGTCCTTCTCGAACTATGTTTCCGGTTCCCGATCTACAATCCCCTCCTATGGCCATCGGCTGCCCGGTTACATAAGACGAATTCTACCACTACCTCTTGCTTCCCGTCTGTCAATGCCTCATAAGGAACCGGAGGCTTCGACAGTCGCTCAAAAGTCATTATCTTCGTGCTCCAGACGACATCCTTACCTATCGAGAGTAATCTATCCCTCTCATCTTCCACCACTTCTCTTGCCCTCTCCCAACATCGACCATAAACTAGATCGGCCTCCCTTTCTACCGGCAAGTAGATCCGCACGTCATATACTCCAGTTCCGAGGAAAAGAACACTCGTTACATAAAGGCGTAGCTGCTCCCAGCCACTATCAACTGACTCGTATGTTTCAACTTCGTAAGGAATCGGTTCTTTCCTTCTAAAGTGACGAAGTGCCGCACAAACAACCTCTACCTTCTCCCTTGTTGGTTTGTTCCCTGAGAGGAACTTTTCTCTTCTTGCTTCCAATTCTTCACTCAAAATCCATCTCCCCTTACTCATTACTTACCTCCTCCAGCATCTCGCTTTGAGCACCATATTTATCATAGGCTCCCAATTGCTCCCATCGAGGTAACTATCAGGGATAGGCGGGCTAGGCACGTCATCATACTCTATGGGCTTTATACTCAGTTTAACTTTTTTCCCCTCCTTCTCCAGTTTCTTCTTGTAAGCGTAGGCTATTGTTTCAGCCCAGTTTCGACAGCCCTACAGAGTGCCTCTCAGCCTCCTTCCTTTTCGACTGTAGAACCCTATATCATATTCTCCCGTTTCGACAAACTTGACCACCAGCACATAAATCTTTTCCTTCAGTTCCACATTTACTATGGCAGTGTAGTATTCGACCGTGTATGGAAAAGGTCCGCCTAGGGTCAAACGAGTCCAATCTTGTAACAGGGCTTCTATGGTCGGGTCACTAGATGACGGCAGCCCCCAGTTTACTCCATTCTCCCAGCTGACCCTGTTTGTCAAGAGCTCAGTCATATCTTGAGTCCATTTGAACTCCTAGCCTTGGCCAGCGCCCTTCTATATAGCCCTCTATCTCAGCCACATTCCTAAAATACCCCCGTCTTTCTTCGGGAAATTTCCGTGGATCCTCCCACAATTCTGGCTCGTCTCTCGGTACCTCCCACTCGGCTTCGTCGTCCTCTTCCTGCTCCTCTTCGTCCTTGAGGGCTCCTATCCTCCTATAATGTGAGCCCAACTCGAAGAATTCGATAAGCGACCTCTCCCTAACCGACAGATCGTAACCCTCGGCTCCGTACAACTCAGTTATCCCCGCCAGATAGTTCGGCGGCTCCCGTATGGCCCTATCTAGTGTAGACCAAAACTCGGTTGGCTGCTCCTGCGTTGGCGCCTCCCATGAAGTCCTAGGTGAGGCCGCCTTGATCAACTCTACCAGCTCCAGAGCCGCCTCACCGAACCTGGGCCCCTCTTTCCACAGGGCGTAGTACGTGTGACGCTCATCACTATATCTCAAGAGACCCTGAATCTCTAGAAAGGCCCAATGGATCCAAATTAGGAGGTCAAGTCCCCCCAGGAATCCTTCCAGGACAAAAATCGGGACTGGCAGCCTCAGCGCCTCTTCCAGATGCGGCAGGAACCCCTCTCTTGCCAGACGGAGAGAGACTACTATAGACCTAAAATCCCTATCATAACAGCGCTCCTTTCCCCGGAGCTTGTCGGCTTCCTCCTGTAATATATCCCGCGTTGTCACTTCGTCTAGCCAGGTATACGAGTCAAGGCACGACACCACCCCGAGGTTTGGATCCCAATGGCTTCGCTCTACTGCTCGAAAAACTATGTCAGCTAGGACAGAGGTCTGGTAGTAAAGGAAACCCCTCACTTGTAGTTCCAACGAATCCTCCACCAGCCTTCCCCTCCTATCTTGCTCAAATCCTATCAAAGGAGCAACCAACAACCAAACTCCCGGCCTCAATAGGACAGACCTCCAGTTCCTGTCAGCCCTATCCCCGTGAGGTGTTTGGATCGACCTACCAGGTAGGGTAAACTCCACCCAGTTCTCGCTGATAAACTCTGGTTCCTTATACGTGAACTGTCGTAACTCTACCGGATACTCTTCACAGCTGTGAGACATCTAGCCCTCTACAGGCTCCCCGTTTAAAATCCTAGCCCTGTCTGTCTCTCCCGCGATAGCGCCCCGACGAAGTTCAGTCCTAATTCGGAAAAAGATCTGCCTCAACTCCCTACTATTGGGTACCGCCATGTCCAGGCAATAGGTGGCCAGCCACGCTAACTCAACAACCGAGGCCCTGAACTGGACGGCCTTCCTCAGCGTCCTCACCAACCTTCGATGACTATCGATACTTCCGAAGATCAATTCAGTCAGGAACCTAGGTACTGTTGTAAGGCTAACGACAGTCACTCTAGGGAGCTCCCAACCGTAAGCGTATCGGACCGAGTACCGTGCTATAGCATCTGACCCTGCAGAAAAATCCCCAAATATCCGAGATCCGTACCTACGGCTGAGGGATAACAGACAGAGGAGCACAAGACAATGTCTCGCAGTGTCTCACTAGGTACTCCCACTCATCGGACGATAAATATATTTTAACGCTCACCTCTGCGACAAGCGGCTCGCTCTCTTTGTCCCTCCTCACACAGGGTCTGGGTTGGTACTCGACCCTCACCCACACAAAAACTCCTTTCCTAACTATCATACCTTGCTCTCTCGTGGGCCTATACTTGCTTCTTCCCTCCAATGGCAGGTTCACGACATCATACAGCCCTTCCTCACGTCTCAGATGAACTTGGGTATCCGACTCGATAAATACCATTCCTAATCAACTGCCAATAGTTCTCTCATCACCCCCTTTCCCGTGCTCACTCTCGGACTGATGAGCTCACAGACCCCCACGATAGGCCCCCACCGATCGCTCCTATATCCCCTCAAGACGTCAACACCCCTAGGAAAAAACCGCCCTCTGGCGTATCTCTCCCTACCCTCATGTCAATAGGAGGATTGATCAGCGTACCAATGTCGCTGGCCTACCACCTTCGCCGCGACCTGGACACGAGTTGGCCAACTCATGTGCCCTAGGGTGGACCAAAGTCACACGCGAATGAAGGGGCGATGTCTCACTAGTACATCCTCACTCTTCTATCCATGCCTCTACTCGGCCCACCTCACTCATGGTCTCTCTTCCCGACTCGTGCAGTGGATCAATCCCCCCAGCTATCCATCAGGACCTGTCGACCGGAAGAAATGCTCTGCCGGCACGCCAACCAAACCCTATGCCTCGCGCCGCGTCTGTCACCCACGGAAGGGATGGTCAGGGCTCTTGTAACCTGCACAGTCCACGTTAGTCCTCAACCATGCAAAAACCGACTTAGACTGACCTCGCGTCACATGTACACAAATCTCACAAAGTAGCATCCGGAACAAATAAAACGAACATTTTCATTCAATCCAAAACAATGGGGTTCTCAGCGTTGTTTCCAGTCTCGGGTGAAAATCCCTCGTCTAGGAGGGGGAAATCTGTCTGAGTAGCTACGGATCTCTTTTGCACCCTGAGCCTGATCCTCCTCTCAATCGAATGCCGACGATATCGGGCTCGACGATCCCAGGAAACCGTGCTAGAGCTCTCTGTATCAGAGGTCGCTTCCCGTGCCCATTGGGGCCAGAGCTCAAGATCAACTGTGACCATGCCTTCTCATGATAACGTTGACTTTTGTCCCTCGCAAAGGTCGCATATGTACTAGGTTTGGTGGCCCGTCTCAGAATGTACCCGTTCAGAAGGCCCGGTTCGGAATGTAGCTCTTCGGAAGGCCCGATTTGGAATGTACCTCTTCGAAAGGCGCGGTTCGGAATGTACCTCTTCGAAAGGCCCAGTTCGGAATGTACGTCTTCGAAAGGCCCGGTTCAGAATGTACCTCTTCGAAAGGCCCGGTTCGAAATGTACCTCTTCGAAAGGCCCGGTTCGGGCGACACTACCTTGGGCCTGATCTCCGATGTGCCTTCTCCAACTGCTCAATCGTTTGCCCGGGCGTCGCACCCTTCAAAGTGCTCACACAATCCGCTGGGCGCACTCCTTCAAACTGGTAAATGCCTGGGGCACCCGCTCGTGTCGCCCCTGTTTTGTGCCCTCTCAGGCCCCCAAGTATTCAATGTACCTTCTCGTCCCGCTCCCGAAATGTGCTCCCAAAGAAGTCTTGTTTCACCGATGCCCGACTGTGCCCCCAAAAGGCCCGTTTCACTGATGCCCCGACTGCGCCCCCAAGAGCCCGTTTCATCCGGTGTCTCAACTGCGCCCCAAAGGCCTGTTCCGTCCGGTGTCACAACTGCGCCCCAAAGGCCTGTTCCGTCCGGTGTCACAACTACGCCCCAAAGGCCCTCTTTGTCCGATGTCCCGACTGATCCATTCACCGAAGCGACGAGACCAAACAAAATCAATGTTGCAAACGCCTCTCCAGGCACGCAGCAAGACATGCTGGACACGAAGTGCTATTGTTTGCCATTGATCTTCAGGGTCAGTAGCGGAACGTTCTGTAAGTTGAAGAAGGCTGTTTGTGAAAACAGCTGGAGAATATCGCGTGAGTGAAGAAGGGGATTTATCTTGTAAAGCTCTTTCATCGGTAGTGAGATTATGACAAAAACCGAAGAAGAAGCCCCGGCTAACTCCGTGCCAGCAGCCGCGGTAAGACGGGGGGGGCAAGTGTTATTCGGAATGACTAGGCGTAAAGGGCACGTAGGCGGTGAATTAGGCGCGAAGCGGTGAAAGTCGCCAGCTCAACTGGTGGAATGCCTTCAAAACCGGTTCACTGGAGTAAGATAGAGGAAAGTGGAATTTCTAGTGTAGAGATAAAATTCATAGATATTAGAAGGAACACCAAAAGCGAAGGCAGCTTTCTGGGTCTCTACTGACGCTGAGGTGCCCGCGGAAGCGCGAGTCGGCGTGCGTGCTTCGTGTGTCCAATCCTCACCGCCAGTGATCACGCGTACGCCCCCACCGGTGAGCGTGGTCCCCGCGCGGCCTACCCCGCTCCGTGCGCGAGTCCGGGCCCTCGGGTGCAGTAACCCGACTCGTGTGCGCGCCCTTGCGTGCTACCCCAATCTGCGCGCACGGAGCTTGCGTGAATGTGCGCGCCCGCGCGCACTATCCCTATCTGCGCGCGCAGAGGCTACGCGAGTGTGTGCACCCTTGCGCGCGGACGTTGCGCGAGTGTGTGCGCCTTTGCACGCTTTCCGGATCTGCGCGCGCGGACGCTGCGCGAGTGTTCGCGCCCTAGCGCGCTGCCCCGATATGTGCGCACAAACGCGGCGCGAGTGTGCACGCTCTTGCACGCTATCCTTATCTGTGCGCGTGGACGTTGCACGAGTGCTCACGCCCTAGCGCGCTGCCCCGATTTGTGCACGCAAAAGCTGCACGAGTGTGCGCACCCCTGCGCGCTTCCCCGATCTGCACGCGCATACGCTGTGTGAGTGTGCGCGCTCTTGCGCGCTGTCCTTATCTCTGCGTGTGGACGCTGCACGAGTGCTCACGCCCTAGCGCGCTGCCCCGATCTGTGCGCGCGGACGCTGCGCAAGTGTGCACGCCCTTGCGCGCTTTCCCGATCTGCGAGCGTGGACGCTACGTGAGTCTGATCCTCCTAGTGCGCGGGCGAGCGCGCTGTTACGCGCGGGCTTTCCCACCCAATCCTGCAAGCGTAGGGCGCGTGCGCGCGCGTGCCCCTGTGTGCCTGTGCGCCTGTGTGTGGTTGCGCGCGTGTGCGCACGTGTGCCCGCGCCTTCGCGTGCGTGGTGACGCATGGAGTCGTGCACCTGCGTCCCCCCCCGTCCTTCCTCGTCCTCGTTACCTCCTTGTCTTCCTCTCCCGTGCGTGTTGATGAGCGCCCTTCCTCCGTGTGCCCTCCACCCGCGCATCCAAGAAGTGTCCCGACCCGGAGCCCTTTTCGGCTTTTATGCTTCGCAGGGCTCCGCCTCCCTGGCTCTCCACTCTTCGGAGGCTGCCTACGAGTTGCAGCGCCCCGGTACCGGGCCTGTGCCCGAGCCTCTTTGGGCCCCCGAAAGGTTTTCAATGACGGGGGCCTTTCGCTCGGGAAGTGGGCCTTTTGCAGCTCCCCGGTACCGAGGCTACTCCCGAGCCTGTCCCGGGCCTATTTGGGCCTGGGTGGTCCCCCACGCTCAAGCGGTACCGGCCCTTGAGAAAAATCGAGCAGGCCCCCCCCCCCGAAATTGTAGGCCAGAAGGCCCATTTCCGAGCCTTAGGCCGGGAACCTCCTTCCCTTGGCGCCAAGGCCTGCCAAAAAGGCCGGTCTCCATCGTCCCCAACGCAAGGTGTTCCCGGGATTTGGTCACTCGTGGTAACTTCGGAGGCTGCCATTGCTCGAGATGTTCGAAGCTCTACGTCAAGGCCCCGACGCCCTTTTCCTTCTGGCTTTTCGCCGACCCTTGGCGCAACTCTGGCCCCTCACAATAGTGCCATTTGCCCTGAGCCCATGGCAATCTTCCTGTTGTGGTAGTCTTTCCATGCCCGTCAGCGGCTCACGCCTGTATTCGCCTAGGCAAGGATGTCCCCTCCAATGTTCGTTCGYGGTTCCATTCCTTTCAGATGTCGCGGCCGGTACTCGTGGTGTCGTTCTATCGACATAACTTCCGGATCCTGGTCGCGGTCCCCGCTGGTAAAGTAAGTGAGCCGGCCCCTTGCCAAGCGTCCTTTTCGAGGAAGCAAAGGGCGGCATAAGGCTGGAGCCGCCCGATAACGTGCCACATCAGCAGAGGCTGGCACTCAACACAGAAGGTGCCAGCGTGCTGCCACAGTCCCGCATCGTCGTCCACAGTACCAGCGCACAGCCAGCGTCGAGCCAGCGTCCAGCTAGAGTCAAGCCTGCGTCGAGGCAGCATAGCAAGACTGAATGTTGACCTCCTGGAGACCAAGCCTTACGTAGTGTTTGACGAGGCAGTCTGGCCTCCGATCTCCTTCCCATAGTTGTACAGATTAACTCACAGTCGAGGGCCTGGATTGTATATAGTTGCAGACTTCCCCTTGGTCCTGATGTTGTCTGGGTACCTGCATACAAACAAGTGTTTTGACTTTGACTGTTGGGCGTCAGGCAGTTGACTTCGATCAGTTGTCGCCCGCTCAGGCCCTGAGTTTACTTAGGGTCTTTTCTCCCCTCTGGCCTGAGTCTGAGTGGTGGCCTAGCGAGGCCCTTAGACATTCCACAAGGCATACT